TCGAGATCGTCGTCTTCCTCCTCCTTCTTCTTCAGATCATCATCATCATCATCATCATCATCATCATCATCATCATCATCATCATCATCATCATCATCATCATCATCATCATCATCATCATCATCATCATCATCATCATCATCATCATCATCCTCATCATCATCATCATCATCATCATCATCATCATCATCATCATCATCATCGTCATCATCATCATCATCCTCATCCTCATCATCATCCTCATCCTCATCCTCATCCTCATCCTCATCCTCATCCTCATCCTCATCCTCATCCTCCTCAGCCTCATCCTCATCCTCATCCTCATCATCATCATCATCATCATCATCATCATCATCATCACAATTATCATCACAATTATCATCATCAACAGCAGCAGCAACAGCATCAGCATGAGCATCAGCATCGTCATCATCATCGTCGTCATCAACAACGGCATCATCATCAGCATCGACATCACTATCATCGTCAACAACATCATCAGTATCATCATTAGCAGCATCATCAACCCCATCATAATGATCACCATCTTCATCATCATCATCATCAGCATCATCAGCATCATCGCCATAATATTCATCATCAGCACAGCCTTCCCCAACATCATCATTATCATCATCATCATCATCATCATCACTATCACCCTCATCAGCAGCATCATCAGCATCAGCATCGTCGTCGGCATTATCACTATCAGCATCATGACCATCACCAGCACTATCATCAGGATCAGCATCGACATCGCCATCAGCAGCATCATCATCATTTGCATCAGCATCAGCATCATCACCACCATCATCACAGTCATCATCATCCGATCAGCATCAGCATCCTCATCCTATCAGCAGCATCATCATCATCTTCTTCTTCTTCTTATTCTTCTTCTTCTTCTTCTTCTTCTTCTTCATCATCATCATCATCATCATCATCATCATCATCATCATCACCATCACCCACTGCTGCCCCTCGTCCTCCCTCCCCGCGTCCTGCTCCTCAGCCCGGCTGCGACGACGCCACAGACGTCGGCGCCTCCCGAACCTGCTCCGGGGCGCGCTCGGACCCCAAGCTCGAGGCGGCGCCAGCCACGGCCACGAGAGCACACCCGCGGGCGAAAAAAACACGCACGCGCCAATACAAAGTATCCTCGGCCGACCGCTACGACGCCGCCGCCGCCGCCGCCGACGACGACGACGACGACGACGGCGACGAAAAAACGATCAGGACGACGACGACGACGGCGGCGACGACGACGACGGCGGCGACGATAATCCGATGATGGTGATGGTGATGGCGATGGTGACGGTGACGGCGAAGGTGACGGTGACGGTCACGATGATGGTGATGATGACGGCGATGGTGATGGTGATGGTGACGGTGATGGTGATGGTGATGGTGATGGTGATGGTGATGGTGATGGTGATGGTGATGGTGATGGTGATGGTGATGGTGATGGTGATGGTGATGGTGATGGTGATGGTGATGGTGATGGTGATGGTGATGGTGATGGTGATGGTGATGGTGATGGATGGTAATGTAATGATGTGTGATGGTATGGTGGATGGTAATGGTAATGTGTAATATGGTAATGGTAATGGTAAATGGTAATGTAATGGTAATGGTAAGGTAATGGTAATGGTATGGTAATGGTAATGGTAATGGTAATGGTAATGGTAATGGTAATGGTAATGGTAATGGTAATGGTAATGGTAATGGTAATGGTAATGGTAATGGTAATGGTAATGGTAATGGTAATGGTAATGGTAATGGTAATGGTAATGGTAGTGGTATGGTAAGTGGTAATGGCAATGGTACTGGTAATGGTAATGGTTATTGCAATGGCAATGGTAATGGTAATGGTAATGGTAATGGTAATGGTAATGGTAATGGTAATGGTAATGGTAATGGTAATGGTAATGGTAATGGTAAATGGTAATGGTAATGGTAATGGTAATGGTAATGGTAATGGTAATGGTAATGGTAATGGTAATGGTAATGGTAATGGTAATGGTAATGGTAATGGTAATGGTAATGGTAATGGTAATGGTAATGGTAATGGTATGGTAATGGTAATGGTAATGGTAATGGTAATGGTAATGGTAATGGTAATGGTAATGGTAATGGTAATGGTAATGGTAATGGTAATGGTAATGGTAATGGTAATGGTATGGTAATGGTAATGGTAATGGTAATGGTAATGGTAATGGTAATGGTAATGGTAATGGTAATGGTAATGGTAATGGTAATGGTAATGGTAATGGTAATGGTAATGGTAATGGTAATGGTAATGGTAATGGTAATGGTAATGGTTATGGTTATGGTTATGGTTATGGTTATGGTAATGGTAATGGTAATGGTAATGGTAATGGTAATGGTAATGGTAATGGTAATGGTAATGGTAATGGTAATGGTAATGGTAATGGTAAATGGGTAAAAAAAAAAAAAAAAAAAAAAAAAAAAACAAAAAAAATGGTAATGGTAATGGTACTGGTAATGGTAATGTAAATGGTATGGAATGGTAAGGGTTAATGGTAATAGGTAATGTAATGGTACTGGTAATGGTAAGTAATGGTATGGTAATGTAATGGTAATGGTAATGGTAATGGTATGGTAATGTAATGGTAATATGGCAATGGTAATGGTAATGGTAAATGGTAATGGTAATGGTAATGGTAATGGTAATGGTAATGGTAAATGGTAATGGTAATTGGTAATGGTAATGGTAAATGTTAATGGTAATGGTATGGTAATGTATGTAATGGTATGGTAATGGTAATGGTAATGGTAATGGTAATGGTAATGGTAATGGTAATGGTAATGGTAATGGTATGGTAATGGTAATGGTAATGGTAAATGGTAATGGTAATGGTAATGGTAATGGTAATGGTAATGACAGTGGTAATGGTAATGGTAATGGGAATGGTAATGGTGACGGTAACGGTAATGGTAATGGTAATGGCAATGGCAATGGCAATGACAATGGGAATGGCAACGGCAATGGCAATGGCAATGGCAATGGCCATGGCAATGGTAATGGTAAATGGTCATGGTAGTGGTAATGGTAATGGTAATGGCAATGGTAATGGTAATGGTAATGGTAATGGTAATGGTAATGGTAATGGTAATGGTAATGATAATGATAATGGTGATGGTGATGGTAATGGTAATGGTAATGGGGATGGGAATCTGAATGGTAATGGTAATCGGAATGGTAATTGAAACGGGAGCGGGAATGGAACTGGTAGTGGTAGTGGTAATGATAATGACAATGGAAATGGTAATGGAATGGTGATGGTACCGGGAACGGTAATGGCAATGGTGATGGGAATGGGAATGGTAATGGTAATGGCAGCGGTTATGGTAATGGTAATGGTAATGGTAATGGTAATGGTAATGGTAATGGTAATGGTAATGGTAATGGTAAATGGTAATGGTAATGGTAATGGTAAATGGTAATGGTAATGGTAATGGTAATGGTAATGGTAATGGTAAATGGTAAATGGTGGAATGGTAATGGTAATGGTAATGGTAATGGTAATGGGTAATGGTAATGGTAATGGTAATGGTAATGGTATGGTAATGGTAATGGTAATGGTAATGGTAATGGTAATGGTAATGGTAATGGTAATGGTAATGGTAATGGTAATGGTAATGGTAATGGTAATGGTAATGGTAATGGTAATGGTAATGGTAAATGGTAATGGTAATGGTAATGGTAATGGTTGGTATGGTAATGGTAATGGTAATGGTAATGGTAATGGTAATGGTAATGGTAATGGTAATGGTAATGGTAATGGTAATGGTAATGGTAATGGTAATGGTAATGGTAATGGTAATGGTAATGGTAATGGTAATGGTAATGGTAATGGTAATGGTAATGGTAATGGTATGGTAATGGTAATGGTAATGGTGGCAATGGTAATGGTAATGGTAATGGTAATGGTAATGGTAATGGTAATGGTAATGGTAATGGTAATGGTAATGGTAATGGTAATGGTAATGGTAATGGTAATGGTAATGGTAATGGTAATGGTAATGGTAATGGTAATGGTAATGGTAATGGTAATGGTAATGGTAATGGTAATGGTAATGGTAATGGTAATGGTAACGGTAATGGTAATGGTAATCATCCCACTTGATGCGGGACCCCTTGACTTTGCGGTCGCAAGGCTCGACGTGGGCGAAGTCTCACGACGCCGCGACGGCAAGTGACCCAGGTACAGGGGGGGGCCGATGAGGGACACGGCCGCGCGGGCGGAGGGACGGCGGAAGAGGAGGAGGGGGCCTTCAGAGCTGCAGCATGGGTAGCCAGGCCATGGAGCGAGATCTCGGCGGCATCGAAGTCAGCAAAAGCTCGGCCTCAAACGCTCTTGCCCCCTCGGGCAAGGCGAACTGCAATCCGGCACAACCGCTCTACGCGGCAGCACGCGCCCTCCTGTCGGGGCGAGACCGTCGCTCGCACGCGAGCTTCGGCGGGGGCGAGGCCCGGCTGGCCGAGGGCCAGGGCGCGCCGAGCTAGCGCGCGAGCTGCGCACCTCAGACGCCACCGCCCCCGCGCGCGGCCGACCAGAAGCAGGCGGCGGCAGGATAAGTGGAGCCCGGGGCGCGGCCATGGATCGCGGAGAAGCGGCTCGGCGAAAGAACCGCCCCAGCCCGACGGGCGCTGAGATGGGCGCGAGGAAGACGCCAGGGAACACCGCACCCCCATCCCGACCTGGGACGGAGCAGCCGCCCAGCGAGCGCCGTCGATGTTCGCGCCAGGGAATGCGCGCAGCAAGGAAGACAGATCGGCCACAAGGGGGCGGCCCGATCGGCCGAAGCCGAGGCAAGGGGAGAGGCGGGAGTCGAGTATTGCTTCGCAACAGGAGCACGGGGGCCACCCGGAAAACGCGAGGGGCAGGGCGGCCCCCCCGACGCGGGGGCACGCGGAGACCCCCCGGGCGCCCGCCCGTGCGTCGCCGAGAGCAAGCGGACCACGGCGGTCCGAAGAGGCAGAGGAGCCTGGAGCTGGCGAGCTGAGATCGCGCGGGCAGAACGAACCTCCCCCTGCGGCGGCGACACGCCCTGGACGGAGAAGCGCACTCTCAGCTTCGCGACCTCGCTCGGCCCAGGCTCTCCCGGAAGCTGCAGCGGGCGATCGGGGGGAGCTGCGAGAGCCAGCATGGCTGGCAGAGCGGCGAGGCGCCCGAGGCTCCGAGGCCAGGTCGCGGCGGCGGGGCGCGCTTCCCCCCGCGGCGGCGCAGCGCCCTCGCCGGAGCCGCCCACCAACCTCCGCGACCGCTCTCGGGCCCACTGCGCCCAGCAAGACGGGCGCCCGCGGAGGGGGCCGACGGGCGGGGGCCGAGCCCCACGGGCCGCCCGCGCAGGGGCGGCCCATCGGCCCCACGGCGGCTCGGCGCCCGCCTTGGCCTTGGGCGGGGTCGTTCACTGCGGCTTCAGCATCGCTTTCGCCTCCGCATTTGGCCTGGAGATCGGGCCTTCGAAGCCGCCGCCCGCTCCGAGCCCAGGCGGGGCCGGAAGGAGCTCAGCTCCTTCACGCGCTCGCCCTGGGCCGACAGCCAGCGCGGACCCACTGGCGGCGAGAACGGGTCGCGAGCCTCCCGCCCCGCGAGCAGGCGCGTCACGCGCGCCGGCGGGCCCTTCGAGCCCGCCGCGAACCACGCCGCCTCGAGGTGCCCGCGATCCCCCGCCAGCTGATCCACGAACCTGGACTGGCTCTGCGTTCCAGCCACGCGAAGCGGGTCAGCAGTTCGCGGGTCGACGTCTGACTGCCCAGAGGACTCTGCTCCCGAAAGTACTGGAACATAGCCGCGGGCGTCGCGTCTGCTGGGCGGATCCCGAGAGCGCGACCCGAATTCTCCTTCATCAGCTCGCTGACTCGAGGCCCGCGCTGAGTGGGCGCCGGCCGCCACACGCGGCGTCGCGCAACGCCCCGCATCGGAGCCATCGCGGACGCGCCCTCCGCGGAGAGCGCGGTGCCGAGGCCCGCTCGGTCAGCGAGCCCAGCAGGGGATGAGTCGTCGCTTGAGGGGCCCGCTTGCGCGTGAGACCTCCTCGCAAGCACACCAGCGCGAGATCCAGCGTCGACGACGCGGTCGCAGCTGGGTCCGAGAGCCCTCCCGCGGCGGCCTCCTCGGCGGGAGCGGACCCTCAGCCAGGGCAGAAAGCCCCCGGGGCAATCCCCCTGCGAGCGGGAGCGGAGGCGGCGGGGCCTTGACCGACACGCCCGCGGGTCGCGGGGCGCCCCACGCTGCCACCAACGCAGAGGCGGGGGCGTCCGTCTTGGCCTGCGCCGGCTGCGGGGCGGGAGGAGCCCGCGTCGCGAAGCTTTGCTGGTCGCGCAGCGGGATCCCGAGACGGGTGGCCTCGTCCTCGAACAGCTTAGGGGCGTCGCGACCGGGCATCTCGCCTTCCTGCGGTGGCCCCACCAGAGGCAGCACTGGAGCAGCCATCATCGCACGCATCTCAGCCACGACCTCCGCTCTGGTAATGGGAGTGCCCTCGCCCAGGGCTGCGAACGACCGACTGGGCGCTCGCAGCTGCGCAGCCGGGAGGGGCGAGGCCGCGAATGGGGGCGCCGCTGCTGGGGCCGCAGGCTCGCGTTCGCCGTCGCCTGCCGCCCCGGGATCCGAATTGGACTCGATCTCCTCGGCGCCCTCCGAAGCCGCGCGATACGGCGTCGCCCGCTCGGCCCACGGCAAGTCCTCCTCACCGTCGGCAGAGGCGGCTCCGTGGAGCGCGGCGAACTGTCCGCGGAGCAGCCTCACCACGCACCCGTCGCCAGTAGTCCCGACTCTGCACCGTAGCGAACGGGATGGCGTCTGCTGGCAGCGTCGGCCCCGGCAGCGGCGACAAGGACGCGAGCTCCAGCTCGTTGACGTCCGAGTCGACCACCAGGACGGAGGCCGCGGTGGCCAGCGCGCGGGAGGCTGCCCCAAGAAGCGGCACGTCCAGCAGCAAGTACGGGCCCAGCAATCCAGAGAAGCCGCCCCCCTCCGCGGCCGCCAGCTCGGCAGCCGAGCGGAAGGACGAGGGAAGAGCGAGCAACACGCCACCATCCCGCTGAGCAAACGGTATTGCGGGTATTGCGGAGAAGCTGCGGCCCCCTTCGTCGAGCCGCCACTTGTCGTAGCTCATCGCAGACGGCGCCTCGAATGGATGGAGCTCGGGCCACACTGGGCCATCCGGCAGCGCTGGCATTGCGGCCATCGTCACTAGCGCTGAGGGGCTCTCGCACCCACTGTGACACGCGTCGAATCCGCGGCGGAACTGACAGTGCGCACGTCGCGGGCGAGCCCGCGCGGGCGACCCGAAGGCCGACCCGAGAGGACTACCCCCGAAGAGGCGACGCTGGCCAAAAGGCCGACGCCGCCGTGCCGCGCGAGGCGGCTTGGGGGCCAGGGCCGTAGGCCAAAGCCCGAGCAGGTGCCCTCGCGGGCGCTGGGGTTGGCGCGCCCAGCGCACCGCGAACGCGAGCCAGGAAAAGGCTCGCGCAGCGAACCGACAGGCCCGCAAGACAGCAGCCCCCGCAGAAGCTGCAACAGAGGGCCACTCCCAGAAGCGAGAGGACCGTCGCGAGCAACAGGGGAGAGACCCCGCCGCTCAAGTCCACCGCCAGCCCGGAGCAGACGGTGGGGCAGGCGATGGAAGCCTCGAGAGCAGGGCACTCCGCCGCTGCTCCGAGGCCCGCCACCTGGGACGGCCAGGAAGACCCGAGCGCTGGGGCCTCCTGGTCCGTCAAAGGCAGCGGGCGGCCAGCGAGCCGCTCGAAGAACGCGGCTTGCAGCTCGACGGCGCGCTGCATCAGCGGGCCGCGGGCCGAAGTGGAGGGGGGGCGACCACTGGGCCGAAATCACTGCAGAGACCGCGGGGGGGAGTCGCATAGAATAAGAGGGAGCATGATAATGATGATGATGATGATGATGATGATGATGATGATGATGATGATGATGATGATGATGGTGATGATGATGATGATGATGATGATGATGATGATGATGATGATGATGATGATGATGATGATGATGATGATGATGATGATGGTGATGGTGATAGTGGTGATGATGATGGTGATGGTGATGGTGATGGTGATGGTGATGGTGATGATGATGTTAATGATGATGATGATGTTAATGATGATGATGATGATGATGATGATGATGATGATGATGCTGATGCTGATGCTGATGCTGATGCTGATGCTGATGATGCTGATGATGATGCTGATGGTGTTGATGGTGATGATGATGATGATGATCATCATCATCATGATGATCATGATGATGACGATGATGATGATATGATGATGATATGATGATGATGATATGATGATGACGATGATGATGATGGTGATAAACTGATGATGATACTGATGATACTTATGATGATGCTGCTGATGATGATGATGGTGATGATGACGACGACGACGCTCTCATCCAGCGCCCCCAACGAGTCCCTCAGCGGTACCCGGAGATTCTCTAGCGGCCTCGTGGAGGGCCAGCGAAGTCCAGGGAACGACGATCGGGGGACTGGCTCAGGGGGGAAAACGTCGAACTTGAGTCGACGATACATCTCCAATAGCTCGGCGTGAGACCCCTGATAGCGAAACAAGCACGTTCGTGGGCGGGGTGGGCCTATCGGGCCCCTATTGGCGATGAATGGGCGATTGGCGATAGTTGCATCCCCCCTGAGCCTATTACCCCCGTGACATTGCCCCTGAAGGTGCCTCCGGACGCCTCCTGAGGCCTAAACGAGCTCAAAGACATGCAGAAACCTCGTTCCTCAATCGACCCTGCCTCCATCATCGATCCTTGATCCTCGATCCTCGATCGATCCTCCCTCGATCTTCGATCCTCGAACCTTGATCGATCCTGCCTCGATCATCGATCCTCAATCCTCGATCGATCGACGGCGGCGGCCTCGAAGGCTCCAGTCGCGCACCCCTCGGCTGTTGGCAGGCCGTCCGTGCACACCCAGCGTGAGGGTGAGGAGGAGGAGGCGGCGGAGGTGGAGGTGGAGGTGGAGGAGGCGGAGGAGGGAGCATGGAAGAGGAAGAGGTGGATGGGGGGGGAGGAGGGCGGAGGAGGGAGGAGGGCGAGGGGGGGAGGAGGAGGGAGGAGGAGGGAGGAGGAGGAGGGAGGAGGAGGGAGGAGGAGGAGAAGGAGGAGGAGAAGGACGACGACGACGACGACGACGACGACGACGACGACGACGACGACGACGACGACGACGACGACGACGACGGTGGCGACATCGATCCTCAATCCTCGAATTTCGATCCTCGACCGATCCTGCCTCGAGCCTCGATCATCGACCGATTCTCGATCCTAGATCGAGCCTGCCTCGATCCTCGACCCTCGATCGCTCCTGCCTCGACCCTCGACCCTCGACCGATCGATCGATCGATCGATCGGCGGCGGCGGCGTCCGCGCCCCCCGCGCGCCTGTGGGGAGAAGACCGCCGCCGCGGGCGAGAGCGGGGCCACGCGCCCCAGGTTCTCGCGCCGGACCTCGCACGTGGGAGGGGGAGGGGGAGGGGGGGGGGGCAGGGGGAGGATTTTTTTATAGATCAACCTCATGTGGCGAAAAGCGGGGACGGAGGCGAGGGGAGGAGGAGGAGGGGAGGAGGAGGAGGAGAGAGGAGGAGGAGGAGGAGGAGGAGGGAGGAGGAGGAGAGGAGGAGGAGAGGAGGAGGAGGAGGAGAGGAGGAGGAGGAGGAGGAGGAGGAGGAGGAGGAGGAGGAGGAGGAGGGAGGAGGAGGGAGGAGGAGGAGGAGGAGGAGGAGGAGGAGGAGGGAGGAGGAGGAGGAGGAGGAGGAGAGGAGGAGAAGGAGGAGGAGGAGGAGGAGGGAGGAGGACGAGGAGGGGCCTCGCGCCCCAGGTTCTCGCGCCGGACCTCGCAGGAGGGGCCAAACGGCGGGGCGCGGCCTCCCTGCTCGAGGGAGGGCGGGACCTGCTGGCGTTGAGTCGGACACGTCCCCCCTGCAGTCAAAAAAAGCGAAAAGTGCGCTGGGCACAATTGTTCGACTCTTCTCCAAGTGACTAGTTCTTCTCCATGTTTTTGATGTTTTCGACTCTTCTCCATGTTTTTGACTCTTCTCCATTGTCTCGACTCTTCTTCAAGTGACTAGTTCTTGATGTTTTTGGGCTACTTGTCTCCATGTTCCTTCCACAGTCCGCCCGTCGGAAGACATGCCCGACCTAGTGCTGGTGGGCGCTGGGGGCCGGAGCCTGGGCCGGCGGCGAGCGAGGGGGTGAGCCCAGAGACCCGACGCCCCACAAGTTTGGAGCGGGCAGTTTGGGGCTGCTTTCGGCCTCCAGGCGCCCAGAGATCCGACCCTCCCCCCCCAAAAAAGTGTGGGCGGTTTGGGGCCCGATTTCGGCCTCTGCGGGCCCTCGCCGGGCCTCGGGGCCGGCAAACAGCGACTCGGGGCGAAGAAGCGGCCGAAGGGAAGTGGTCCAGACCTCCGGGGCCCACGCATCGAACAACATTGGAGCAGCCCGATGTCTGGGAAGCGAGAAGAAGGCCTCGTGGCTTGGGCAGGCAGGCACATAGGTGTTGATATATACATATGTGTATTCATCATATATATATCATATATATGTATGTATGTATGTTTATATACATATACATACATACCTGTATGTAGTGGTTTATATACATATAGACTGCTATATATGCATACCTATATATACATATATAGATATATTGATACATACACCGACTATATGTACACTGGTGTACCGTGAATATATATATATACCGTTTAAACATACTGTTATACATACATATACATATACATGTACATACATATACTGGTTTGCATACATAAATGTATATATATACTTATATATGCATATACTGCTATATATATACATACAAATTTAATACATAAATAAATATATATATATATATATATATACATACACGTGTACACTCAAACACACCGATCCTGGGCAAGGATCGGCCCGGCCGACAGAGGGAGGAGCGGCAGCGGGGCTGGCTGGGCAGGGCGCAGGAGCCCTGCCGCGAGAGGCCGAGGCGCCTCCCCGGCAGGCCCTGCGCACGGCGGGCGCGCCCCGCCCGCTGCCCGGGCCGGGGCCCGGGCGCGCGGCGGGCGGCTCCGCTGCTGCTGCGGCCCTCGCGGGCGCTGGCCGCCCGGAGGGGGGCCGGTGGCGCCGATCGGCGGCGAGCCTTCTCGGAAGAGGCCGATCGGCGGCGTCGCGGCCGCCATCTCCCCAGACCCCCTCGAGTCATGAAAAAATCACGACGTGAAGTTTTGGGCTATTTTCGGCCTCCGGGGGCCCTTACCGGCCCTCGGGCCCGTCAAAAAACGGCTCAGGATGAAAAGCCGGTCCCGGGGAATGGGTCCGGACCTCTGGGGGTCGCGTCATGAAAAAATCATGACGTCGGGGGTCTGGGTCCGTGGCGGGTTCGGGGTCCGTCGGCTGCGGTCATGTAGGCCGCTTTCATATGAAAGGGTGGTTTACTAGAGTCGCGGGCCTCGACGTTGACACAAACACCAACATCGGCGGCGCCGCCGATCGCCGATCGGCGGCGCCGATCGGGGGGAGGAGCGAGAACGCGAGGGCCTTCCGCGGAAGGCGGCGGGGCTTCTCAGAGGGCCCTCGGGCCTTCCGAGAGAGGCGTTCGGCGTCGTCGGGGAAGGCCCAGGATGCTTCTCGGTCGGAACCTCTGAGCCTTCCGAGAGGGCCCGCCCACTCTCACCTCCCAGGTGGCGACATCCGAACCCTGCCCCAGCCAACGATCGGTCCTCCTGAATCGAAGGGAGGCGGGGGTAGGGCTCGGATTTCGCCACGTCTTCGACCATTTCCGAACCCTAACCCCGCCACACATTGAGTTGCACGACTCGTTGATCGGCGAGGGTAGGGTTTGGATTTCGGCGCCGACTTCCCCCCTCGCTCGCCGCCGAGTCGAGGGGCTCACTGCCCGGGGGCCGCTTCTGAGGCTGCCCTCGACAACACCGCGGGCGTCGCCGGGCAGGCCCTCGAACCGCACGGCCGCCTGCCGCGGGCACCGTCCCGCGCCCTCGACAAGTTACTCAATGATAGGTCAGAGTCGGTAAGTCGGCCAACTCCGCCAAGCTCTCCGATGTGCTGATTTTCTTCTCCGGCGCGGCAAGTCTCCCCACCCAAAGAGCTGCATACGCAAGAAGCAGTGACATGCGCAGATCTCCTGGCATCGCTCGGACGTTTGCATGTTTTGCGGGCTGGGACCATCAAAGAAGCATCCAGGATCATGTAGCAGAAAAAGCACGCCCGAAACCGACAAACGCACGGGAGAACGGACCTCCGAGCGGTGGCAAGAGCATGGCCCCGCCCTCGTGCCCCACGCCGCGGCTCTCGCCGCCGGCCCCGTGCTGCGCAGCGCCGCGGCGCTGCTCTGCACGGGGCGCCTCTCGGAGCCTCCCACTTCTTGAGGGCCGACATGGGTATGTGCGGAACGACTGCCCAGAGATCCGACCCTGGTTTGGGGGGCCCGATTGCGGCCTCGGGGGGCCCTCGCGGGGCCTCGGGACCGGCAAACAGCGATCCAGGGCGAAGAAGCGGCCGCAGGGAAGCGGTCCAGACCTCCAGGGCCAACGCGTCGGACAACGTTGGAGCAGCCCGATGTCTGTTTGGGTACGAAGACCGACAGCAATCCCTTTTCATTTTGAGCAGGGCTCGCTGTCGGGTGTCGCTGCGGACGTCGTCCATTTGAGACGGAAGGCCGCCCGCAAGGCAGCTTCCGCTGCCGGTTGTTGGACTGCATCAGTTGTTGAGATTCGTGCCCAATCTGTCCCTCCGATTTCGGGCGTCCAGAACTCCACCTCGCTCCCCTCAATTCCCCCCTTGGTTGCTGATCCTGGCCGCCGTCGTCGCCGCTGCCGCCCTGGGGCCTGAGGAGGCTCGACCCTTGGCGGCGGCGGCGGCGGGCAGCGGCTCGCTGCGGACGCGGCGCCTGCCGAGGTGTCGACCTCCCTCGCTCGTCTCTGTCCCTGGTCGCGCGTGGAAGCGTTCTGTGACTACCTACCAGACCACCCCAACCCAACCCGAAGACCCGAATTTCGGGTTGGGGGGGTAAGGGTTCCACATGTGATTTTTCGATGTTTCCCGACCCCCCCCCCACTGGAAATCGAGGGTAAAGTTGAGCCTTCGGGTTGGGTTAGGGTGGTTTGGTGGGTGGTGATTCTGGGCGACCCAAAAGAGGGTCCAGCTGCAAGGGGGTGGTGCAATAGATTTGGGGCAGTTGTATTGCAGACGTACTGCGCCGGAGAATCGTAATGCCTTGTATTGCAACGAATGTACTGCACGCGAAAATCCAGCAATACATGTGCGCCCCGGAATGTACTGCACGCCCCAGATGCACTGCAGCCCCACAAATCTATTGCACCAAATCTACTGCACCACCCCCTTGTCGCTGGACCCCCTTTTGGGTCAACCCGAAGCGTTCGGGGAGCATGCCCTCGTGCATCGTACCTTTTTCACTGAAGGGGAGGTCGCGCGGGGTGCGCGCGTGCCTGCCGTGGTGTGGCCAGGGCGCAGCGGTCCTCGCAGTGGCAAGAAGTCGGCGCAGGCTTCACACCAACCGTGGGAAACCCATTCGAACACTCGGCCCTAACGACCCTCCATCCCCAACTTCGCCGTTTCAATCCTTGGGCAGCTGGTCCTGTTCGCTGCCGCTGTCGTCACCGCCGTCAGTGCCGGACAGTTTTGCGCCAGTGCGGCCTCCAGCAGGAAGCAGACCCGCGCCCGAAGACCGCGGGTCCGCAGAACTGGGGGTCCGGAAGAACTTGCGGATCCCGTCCCAGAGAGACGGTCGGACCGAGGTATAACATCGAGGGCGGCTCGGGGAGGATACCCTGGTATTCTTCGTGTTTGTCACATGTTCTGGTGCATCCTGGGGGAGGGTACCCTCGAGCCTTCTTCAGTTTGGCCAGCGGCCCCCTCCCTGGCGCGCGGAGCACGCCCAGGGCGGCGCCGGAGGCGCCGCCGGGGGGGCCCAGCGCGGATCCGCAAAATCCGCGCGGAGCGCCGTACTTAAGGTCTGGGTCCACCCCCCTGCTGGCGGCGTCCTGCTGAAGCTTGCTGGGCGCACGCCCTGCGCGCCGCCCTCCGACACTGGCGGGGGGGGCGCCAGGGCGGGCGGGGGCCCTGGCGACGGCCCAGGCGCGCGGGCTCACCTGGAAGCGCGGCCCCCCGCCTGCCTCGGCGGAGGCCCCAGCCGCTCGGGAGAACGGGGGGGGGGGAGAGACGGAGGAACACCAGGCGGAGGGAAAACGAAGAAGAGGAGGAGGAGGAGGAGGAGTGCGAGGAGGGTGAGGAGAAGGGTAGGAGAAGGATCACGAAAAGGAGGATGAGGAGGAGGAAGACCAGCGTAAACCCAAGAGTCCCGTCAAGCTCCTTCTTCACAGGCCCGTACAACGGTTCATTTCTATTGAGGGAACTGCCTCGTTGGAAGACGACCGTTTGAAGAACCTGAAGCATGCCAAAACATTATTCTCGGGATTTCAACGCCGCGAATCAACCTGACTGCTGCGTCTTGACGATCTGGAATCGTGCCAGAGAACCACTTCTGGATGTCAACACCGCAAATCAACATAATTGCTGCAACCGCATAATCCTGAATATTCCAAAACACCATTTTTGGTGCGTTGATCATGGGAATACGCGCGGCGCTCCGGCGAGAGCCACCTTTTGAAAAGGAACCGCCCTCAATCCGTGAACTCTTGCAAATGTATAACGCGAATGTGCGCGGTGCTAAGGCGAAAGCAACAAATTGAAAACGACCTGCCCTCAATCCGTGAAAAGATTGCAAATGTTTGAAAAGCTAAACCCAGAGCCACACTTTGAAAATCACCCATCCTCGATCCGTGAAACTCTTGCAAATATTTGAAAAATGTGCGCGGCGCTAAGGCGAGAACCGCATTTTGAAAACGACCCGCCCTGAATCCGTGAAACTCTTGCAAATGTGTAAAAACGAATACGCGCGACGCTAAGGCGAGAGCCACACTTGGAAAACGACCCGCCTTCAATCCGTGAAGCTCTTGCACTTGATTAAAACGAATGCGCGCGGCGCTAAAGCGAGAACAACATTTTGAAAAACGGCCCGCCCTCAATCCGTGAAGCTCTTGCTAATGTTTAAAACGGATGCGCGCGGCGCTAAGGCAAGAGCCACATTTTGAAAACCACCCGCCCTCCATCTGTGAAACTGCTGCCACTCTTTAGCTTCAGAATCAAAAATGGTGAGGACGTCTCAGGCGAAACGCCGGGCCCGCCCTAAAAACTGGCCTCGGGGTGCGACAGGGAGAGGTGATTTATAAGGAAAAAGAATGGAGGAGGAGGAGGAGGAGGAGAAGGAGGAGGAGGAGGGGGGGGGGACACGAGGAAAAGGAGAGGGGAGGGAGGAGGAAGGAGGGTGAGGAGGAGAAGCGATGTCTCTGGCCTGACCTTCGCCTTCTGCTCGCCCCCATTGCACCACAGGGCGACGTCGTAGCGCCCCGTCTCCTGAGGCCACGGAGGTTTCCCTTGGGCCCGCGGAGGGGCCCGCGGAGGATCCTCCTCTTCCTACGCCTTGTCATCTGCAGCGCCTTCGCGGTCGTCGTCTTTGTCTCCGTCCTCGTCGCCGTCGCCATGATCGTCATCCTCACGATCATCTGCATCGTTGTCGTCGTCATAGACGGCGTCGTAAGTCGCCACCACAACCACCATCATGATCACCGAAACCTCACCAACCTCGTGATGACCAGCGCCATGCTCCTCACGATCATCATATCCACTACCACCACCACCACCTCCCAACATTATCATGAGAAGCATAGTGATTACCATAATCAGCACCATAATCAACATGATCGTCATAAATCAGCATCATTATCATCTTCAGCGTCATCAGCATCATCATCAACATCATAATCATCAGCAGCACGAGCATCATCTTCATCCGCATCATCATCAGCAGCAGCAGCATCATCGTCATCGTCATCGTCATCATCATCATCATCATCATCAACATCATCATCAGCATCAGCAGCATCATCATCATCATCATCATCATCAGCATCAGCATCAGCATCATCATCATCATCATCATCATCATCATCATCATCATCATCATCATAATCAACATCAGCACCATCACCATCATCACCATGAGGAGCATCGTCATCACCGTCAACATCGTCATCATCATCATCATCATCATCATCATCAGCATCGCCATCATCATTGCCATCATCATCCTCATCCTCATTATTACAATCAGCATCCGAAGCACAGTTGTCATCGCACCTCAATATCACCAGCATCAACAGCATCCGCATCATCATCATCATCATCAGAATCAACATCATCATCACCATCATCAGCATCATCTTCAGCAGAAGCATTATCATCATAAGCGTCATCATCATCACACCATCACCATCGCCATCGTCATTGTCATTGTCATCGTCAACGTCACAGTCGTCATCGACACCACCATCCATTATCGCCATCACCACCCTTACCACCAGCACCATCAACAGCATCCTCATCACCATCAGCATCATCATCATCGTCAGCAGCATCACCATCAGCAACATCATTGGCAATGTCGCCGTCATCACCATAAACATCGTCATCAGCAGCATCAGCATCGGCATCGCAACCTCCATCGTCATTGTCATCGTCGTGAGTATTACTATCACCATCAGCATAATCAGCAGCATCATTACATCATCGCCCTTGTCATCGTCATCGTCAACATCATCAGCAGCACGCTAATCACGACCATCATCATCATCACCCTCATCCGCAGAATCATTATCATCATCCTCTCCATCATCAGCACCATCAGCATTAGCATTACCCTTACCATTCTCAGCAGCAACATCATCATCATAATCAACAACATCATCATCTACATCATCACCATCAGCAGCATCAGCAGCATCATCGTCATGTTCATCGTCGTCATCGTCATCACCATCCGCACAGTCCTTTTCCAGGCCTCCCATCCCCCCCCCTCATCCTCCTCCTCCTCCTCTTCCTCCTCCTCCTCCCCCCATCCTTGCTTGACCGCTCCTCCGTCCAAGCCGAGCTGGCCTTCTCCACCTCTTCCCTCCTCCAATCCTTTATTGGGCAGTGCAGGACTGGCTCCCCATCCTCCCTCCCCATCCTCCCCCCATCGTTGCTTGGCCGTTCTCCGCCACCACTTGGCCCGCTCCACTGCCTCCTCACTCCCCCTCTCTAGGCTCTTGGGAATTCTGCCAGGACTGCGGGCTAAGGCTATGCGCAGCATGCCCAACTAGCTCGCGGCCCGTTGTTTCGGCCAGCCCGATTCAACATTCACGGCAGGATTCCTGGCACCCGGACAGCTGTACGTGTTTAGGCTAGGGCCGGCATCACTGGAACTCTGTCAGGGTTGTGGGCTAAGGCTATGCACCGCATACCCAGCTAGCCTGCGGTCCGTTGTTTCGGCAGGACCGACTCACGAACAGGGCTGGAGTTCCAGGATTGCAGGCCGCACGATCTTAGGCGATACCCCGGGAATTCTGCTAGGGCTGTGGGCTAAGGCTATGCAAGGCATACCCAACTAGCTCGCGGACCATTGTTTCGGCCAACCCGACTCAAAATTACGGCAGGATTCTTGGCATCCGTAGTGCCGCACTTGTTTAGGCGAGGTCGCTGCGAGCACCTCCACTCCACTTGCCCTTTTCGTCACCAGGTGGGGACCTCACCCGGCTCGCATTCAGTCGAGGTTGCATCTTCGCGCCCGCAGGCGAGGAGGTTCGCAGGCGCGGGCTCCAGCACAGAGCGCGTACTAGTAGGCTAAGAATCTCACCTAATTGGATAACAGCTTCGCCAACATGCGGCAGTATCCGTGAAGTCCCAGCAGTGTCAGTATTACGTTGTTCCATCCAGTGTGTTGCATCGCGCTCCCAGGTCACTCGGCACGCAGACGCACTTGCTGCACTTAGCACTGCCTCTAAGTGCAGCAAGATGTGGGGGCCTGCTGGCGCCTTTTTCACACGCAGACGCACTTGCTGCAGTTGACGCCGCCTAAGTACAGCAAGTGGTGGGAGCCTCTTGGAGCCTCCTTCAGCACTTTGCGTTGCCTGTTTCTACGCTGCATCGCATCGCGTAGCCTAGCAGCGTCTCGCTGCCAGAAAGTCTAGACTCCTGTTCCAAATTCGTTGTATCGTGGGTTGCTAGCCAGGTCTCGCCTGAGTATCGTTTAACCGATCCCCATCCCCAGCGGCGTGGCCTGGGCCCCACTGGCCGATTTACCCCCCTAGATGGGGATATGGGTCGTTCCATTCGGGTTTCGAAGGGTGTATCCCCAACTGGGGTGGTACTCTGGTGGGGGTCTCGAAAGGGGATGGGGATGGGAATGGGGATTGGTTGAACGATGCCGATCGCCCTCGTCAGCAACCGACGCCAACAGGCAGCGAGTGGGGGTTTCCCCGGGTAACGGGTGCACCCCCTTGACACTCCCTGGTTGGCTCAGGGACTGTCCAAAGGCGGTCCGCTCGCTGTCCTGGCAGCTTGGTCAGTGATCCTCGGCCGCCTCCTCCTCCTCATCTTTTTGCTCCTCCTCCTCCTCCTCCTCCTCCTCCTCCTCCTCCTCCTCCTCCTCCTCCTCCTCCTCCTCATACTCATCCTCATCCTCATCCTGCCTCATCCTCCACCTCCTCCTCCTCGTCCTCGTCCTCCTCCTCCTCCTCATCATCGTCATCCTCCTCCTCCTCCTTTTCCTCCTCCTTTTCCTCCTCCTCCTCCTCCTCCTCCGCCTCCCCCTCCTCATCCTCATCCTCATCCTCATCCTCATGTTCCCTCTCCTCATCCTCCTCCCCCTCCTCCTCATCCTCCTTCTCTTCCTCCTCCTGTCTCCCCACGATGTCAGCTCAGGATGAGATGCTGCCCTTTTCCTCGAGCCCGTCCGAGCAATGTCCCAAGGCCACCAGCGGATGTCAGCCAGGATATCAGGGGAAAGGTGGGATAGATTGGAGGTAACTGGGATTGACAGAGAGGGGCTGTGAGGGACGTACGGCTTGAGCCAAAATGGGTACGGACGTCGCACCCCTCTCTGTATGTTCAAGCACATAGGCAAACGACGGAGGACACAACTGCAAATCAATGAGCTGTTGGCGCTCATTCCCACAGTCCCCCGAAAAATAATGGGCTTGAACAGAGGTGCAACATCCATGACCCATCTGGCATTCTTCAAACGATTCATGCTAGCAGTGCTGGCGCTGGTGAGCATTTTGGACACCGTCCTCGTGGCTAGGCAGAGTGGTTGGACTGAGCAAGGGTCCACACTCCTGCGTCCAATCGTACGCACTCTGGCCACCTGGTGTTCCCCGCGGGGGCAGTCACCGGCACTACGAGAACACTTGGACAGGAAAAACTGCGCTCCAAAACTACGCGAAGAGAAACTCTTGCCACACCAGTGCCTTGAAAAGGGAAGGGTGAAAGAGGCGAGACAGAGGGCAGAAATCACTGCAGCTGTCGCCTGGACTCGGCTCTGGATCGGTTCTTGACCTGGGGGTCGTCCCTGCGATCTTTTAGGGAATCTTCTTCGGATCTGAGCCTAAGCATGCCCGACTTGAGCAGAGCGAGTTGGGCGGCATTCGTCTTGGCCTTGGTGAGGCAATCCACGGGCATGTGGGGATGTGGTACCCACCTGATCGCGCTCCCTATCCGATCCATGGTCTCCCTGACGACGGCTAGATCTATGGCGGCCCTCCTATCCGACTTGGTCCCCGACGTGAGTTTCGAGAGGGTGTCATAGATCCCCTTCGCATCTACGACGCCGACGTTGCCTGTCACCGGCTCTCCAAGCACGGTGCAGTCCTCCTTGAGAAGACTCACGAACGGGCCCAGGTTCTCCCGCCACCGTTCATGGACAACATTGCCGCGAGTGACGTCGAGCAGCAAAATCTGCAGCCACTCCGCCTCACCTAAGGCACTGGAGAGAGACAACGTCTCCCCTGCCAGGGTGGATGCCACCTGCCTGCGCAATTTTCCGGATCGCCATGCTATCGGGGTCACCCGGGCCCGGGACCCGTGAGCTAAAGAATTATCGGCGATAGAAATTTGCCAGGCCTCTTGAGGGTGCTGGGGGGCCCCCTTCTTATCCTCGGCCCCTATGCCTCCGCAGTCGCTGGCCGTGGCCAGCACGAAACCGTCTGGTCGAAACCTCCAGACTATTATGGGAAGAGATGCGGTGGACCTTAGGTGGTCCACCATTTTGTTAGCGTCCAACAGGTCCTTGACCGAAGGGCCGTTGACCTTCGTAGCAAGAATCGAGGCCGTGCCCGCGGCCTCGGCGCGGGTCTCCCTGCCCACCCACTGCAGCTTATACACGAGCGACCGGAAGGCGGCCACCTCGCCGCCGACCAGGGGGGCTTCGTGATTCCCCCTCCGACCTCGAGCAAGGGGGATCTTCTGAAGCTGTTCCAGAATGTATTTTTCCTGGTCCACCAGGACCCTGTCGCCGTCCAGACGCAGCCTCCTGCCTATGT